GGCGAACTTCCAACTCTTGAGCCACGATCACCCCCTAACTCCAAACAGTTTGCAGTATTTACCTGTTACGTTTATATTCTATAAAGCACAGTAACATAGGGTTTATCTTTACAGCAAAAATATTGCTGTACACTACAATAGACAGCAGAAAAAACAGACTAATGCTGGCAAATCTAGATGCCAGGGAAAGTTCTTACAGTATATAACGGCACTGTTTGCCAAATAAATACTGCAACTGTTGATAAAGAATTACAAACGAAGACTACTGCAGTTATTTCATGAAAAATATCAAATATGCTGAATTTGCCTGTAACAATAAAGAGTATGCTCACTTGAAGATGAAGTTCTTGCTTGGGTCTGGATAAGCCATCGTCCCCATTTCGGACACAACAATTCTATTTGCTTCCATGTTAGCTTTATAGGTGTCACTTCTGAGGAATCTGCTTCTATGGATTATTTCACCTGCAAGGAAACAAATACTGCGTCTTTTATCTGTGCGCTTTACATTTTTTTTTTTGTTTTATTTATGTATTTTTGCAGCAATTAACAGATTAGCAGCTGTGCACAGGTAAGAATTGCTGTACCAACCGTCTTTGAAGGTGAAGCTACTCATTAAGGCCATCCCATCAAACCAGTGGTTGTAGTTGGTGTCCCCCACAGTGAAGATGCCAGGGCCATTTCGGAGGAGCGTTCCTTGCAGCCAGCTGGGAATATTCCCTATTTGAAATGAAATCACAGTCTTCACAGCAGCAGTTTAAATCTGAACATTTGTTGGCAATACAATTGTATAAAACCGGACCCACCTTTAATTTCTGCCTTACAAGGCTCGGGCCTCTCTGTTGCGTTCTTAGAAAAGTCTACCGACATGTTCGCTGACAGACCAGTGAGTGCGCCAGTGTCAGAGTAAGTTAAATACTGTGGGAGCACAAACCACTCCCATTTGTTTTACTGGGGTGTTATGAAAGGGCAATTTATCTTATCTGTCTGTACAGCAATCCCCTTCCTGTGTGGAGGTTTCACAGAAACATTGAAGCTCAGTACCTTCACCGCAGGAAACTTAATGACCCCATCTGCTGCTGTTCTGTCCCCTTTTCACCTTGATTTTTTATTATTATTTTTAACTAAAACAAAAAAGATAACTCTTTTTCATCTAGTCCTCAGGCTTGCTCTTTAAGTATTTACGTGGCTATTCTGTGATCAGATTAAATAATTGGACCCCCCCCCCAAGCCATGATATAGACATAATAAATCTCAAATAGGATTAATTGTGATTAACCCTTTGGTGCACTGCTGCTTTTATTTGCTGTAGGTCATTTCCCTTTTCTGGTGGCCTAGATTGTACCTGAGAAGCATGTTGATTTTATAAACTCTGTATATAAGCATTGAATCAATTTACGTTCAACCAGGAGTTGGAACCTGTCCTAACTGACAGGACTGAACAAACTAACTGAAACGATGTTATAAAAGAGAGTGGGCCAAGATTACTCCACCCTATGAGATATGAGAGGCCAATAAAGTCATACAGAAACAGTATGTCCAGGTGCTTCAAGTTATTGCTGCTGAAAGTGGATCTATAAGCTACTGAATCATGTACGTTTTTTCATACATTGTTTTTAACATTTAAAATAAATAAACAAACAAATAAATAATAAAAGGGTTTAATGATGTCATGTGTTGTTTATCATCCCAGTAGGTATTTCAGTTATTTTAGAACCTGCTAAGGAGGTGATTTTTTTAATACATCCTGATACTTAAGATTGAAAGAGGGTGCACATTTATTCCTATACTGGTGCAAAGACATGAAGCTGTGAACGCAGTTCATCTCAATACTGAGCAAAATAATTATCACCACGGTCATGATTGTGCAGTCCTTGTCGGTGGCATACGATAATAAACGTGCATTATGTTGAATACGCTTTTCCATGGAAAGCACGTTTGACATATCTTTAACCTTATCTGGATTCACCAACCTAAGCAGCCACCTTAAGCAATCGGGCCACTAATTCACACCAAGGTTGTTTACCTGAATATCAGCGCAAGGTTTCCCGGTGTGGCGATCAGCGCACTCACACTAAAGGGGCGGTGTTGACTGCATGAGCAATCACAAACATCGATGGGTCTACGAGCAGCAGACTGTGTTTTTCAACCAAAGAGCAAAATTCTAACTACAAAAATAGGAGTAGATCAAATGCATATAGTAATAGAAGATGGAAGCAACATATTCTGCACTCACTGCACCGTCATCAAGGCACTAGATCTGACTGTAATTATAGCCATGTATCCCACAAATTAATGGGTTGCTTTGTGAGATAATGTCGGCCTTATTTTTGCATCTGCAAACCCGGTGGTATAAAACAGGGCTACAGTCAAGAGCAAAAATAAAAAGAGAATAAAACCCGCACAGAACTGTTTTTACTGGATGCTTACTTAAAAAGGGAAAACAGTGAGCATTTATTATTAAGGCTTGTCAGATTAAAAAAAAATCTAAAATCTACTGGGCCTCTTACTATTTGGGGCAATGACAGCACACACATCCCTGTAGTGAGACCACAGTGAGTAGTAATACAGTATAACGCTCATCTCGTGGCTAATCTGACACATTAGCTCTCATGGCCAGAGCTTCTGGACTCTTGATCCTAATCAACCAAAAACAAAATAAGACAGATGTTCAATTTTTCCTGGTTTCACCAGCAGGGGGCAGAAATTACACTGTTGAGGCATAAGTATGTCATTCTATGCTAGACCTTTTGAAACAATACATATTTTGATATTTTTTATTATTATTTAGTATTTGTATTTATCAGGTTGCATATCTGCTTTATCCATATATGCTTTACCATCTTAAGATTTAATGGTATTGTAAGACATGCAGGTTCTTTGGAGCCTAACAGGCATTTCTATTGTATCCAAAATAGTTTTCACTTGAAATGGCCACTTAGTGTGCAAGGCATGCTTGCAAAAATCATGAAAAACTGTGTCACTGAATATGCTAAGTCTCCATCAGACACTTAAAATGAGTTAATTTGGCATTTATTGTTGAGAAAAAATAATGTAAATGACAAATATTTCTAATCTCCAGCACATCCACAGAATGTCACCACACACTCCATCTACTCACATCTCCTCCAAACATTGAAAAGAAACGTCAACACATTTTAAAATAACTCGCAGCAGCACCAGGCTCTCTCGGTCACTGAAACGTCTCCTTCGTTCATATTAATAAATTAAAGACAACTGTCCACATACAATTCATGATGCTCATAAGATTAATGTTTATTTGCACTGCCCAAACTGTTATAAACTGTGAGGATTAGTATTCAAGTATTCCCTTTCCGTTTATTTCTGTGCTGGATATTATCCTAAATATCTGGTTCTGTGAGTTACCTAATGTGGCACAGTACAAGAATAACATTTAAGTAAACATTATGTACATGTACTAACAAAAAAAAATAAAAAACAAAAACTTGCAAATGTATATTTGCTTACAGTGCAATCCCCATGCAATTCCACATGCAGTTATAGAAGATGCCTGAAGAAGACCTTATTGATCATGCATGAGCTTGTGGCCTGCCATCCAAATAATAATGTATTATTTCCATCCAATTTCAGCGAAACATCAAATGACAACCCCTCCTCATTTTATGGTAGTGATATTCACCTGCAGAGAAGATGACGTCCGACAATAGTTTGCCAAAATAAAAAATAAAAATAAAAAAAAATAAAAAAATAAAAAAATAAAAAAAATATTAGCACATTAAAAGAATCTCATTCCATCACAACAGGACAAACCAAACCGGGCCTTGCCACTCTGCAACCAGCCACAGCATGCAGACATGGTAATGTAAATAGAATCAATCAGAAACATGGTTGCAAATTGGCATAACTGTATACAAAACATTTTGAGGGAAAATGGACAAATAAATATTGTAACCTCATGGTGAACATCTGCATTTACCATGGAGTAGCAATGGTTTAAGCACTGGCACAAATAGATCAACAAAAACAACAACAACAACAACAAAAAGCACACAAACAACCAGCCTTAACAAACCTCTTAATCTGTCATTTGACACTATATAACAAATGCCAAAAAACAATCACATTAGACAGGCGTTGGTAAAGGAAAACAAGTAAAAATCACTGAAAAGCAACATTTTTTTCCAGTGGTGTCAGCTGGGTGTAACAAAGTCTTCACTGTGCAATCATGTTATTTTAAAAAGGCAACAAAATCAAATGCCGAGCATAAAAAGGCAGACTTTAAAACTAACATTCCCTGTTTCTGTGACATAAAACATGACAGAAGTGTTTGATGTATAGCTCATGTAAAAGGTGCAACAAATATTCAAGTAGATACCACAAATCTTCAGTGAACTGCTATGACTTAAACTGAGCAGTTGACCTTTGCCAATTTACCGAAAGATTCCCAAGTTCTGTATTGTATGATTAACATAAACGAGTTTAAGTAGAATTATGTTAAAAACAAACAAAACACATTGTTCAAATCTTTCCATGTATGTCCACTTGAGTGAAAAATCCTTGTAGCGATCCAATAAACAGGACCCACAACACCATGTATGGGACCCTTAGGAGTGAATTGAAAGTCATACATGACACAAAAGCTATTACCATTAACACAAAAATTTTGCCACCTGAAATACTGATTGTCGTTGACTTTACGTTAAACTACGGCTCTGTTTAAAAAAGAAAAGTAAAAAAAAAAAAAGATCTTAAACGTCTCCTATATGTAAAGGCTTTGTATCTTCCTGGGTGAATAAAATCTAAACAAAAATGCCGAAACTGAAAATTATTGTGTTATGCTGTTACAAGACTTTTGCTCTTCACGTCTCAACTTTTGAAGTATTTCGCTGCCATCGATTCAAGATTATTCAGTGTCTACTTTTGATGTTTTGTTTCAATGTGCCAGCTAAAAATGTACACTGCAGGATTGGCAACAGCTAGAAAAGTATAGAATTAAGTTTGCGGCAAAAAAAAAAAAAAAAAAAAAAAAAAAAAAAAAAAGCCAACAAGTAACACTCGGAAGGGCAAACAAACATTAAATGTCAGGTCAACTAAAGCGTTAAAACATTTTCTGTGAAAATCTGGGTTTTGTTGAATTTGTCATATTTGTCCTTGGCCCTGACTCAGTTGAGTTTCACCTCTCTACATTCATTTCATAATGCAAAACTAAGAAAATGTGGAATAAAACACTTCAGCAACACACTTTTTAAAAGCAAAGTGATCAGTTTGTATACATAACTTGGCTGGATTAACATCTGATGATGCGCTTGAATTTCTTATTGTACAGACACCACCAGTAACATTCACTTTCCCTTTTAGTATTTCTAAGGTACTCTGCACATCTCCTTTTAAATAATACCAGTTAATTAATATCCTATGTATCTTTAAAACCCTATGTACTTTGACTCCAGCAAGACAAAAGTAAGAAAATGCATATATGTACCGATTCGTCTTCAACCCTACATTTAAAATGAACATATATGACTTCTGTTATTCTGACAGACTTTAAATGCTGGTTTGTATCTGCGCATTTTGGCACTCACAAAAGAACATCTCACTCTCTGGAATTTCACTTCCTGGTTAAATAAAGGTTAAAAAAAATTAAATTACAAGGGGTTGAGTGATTTAAAAAAAAAAAAAATTTTAATTTAATTAAAAAAAATAAAATCACAAATTCTTCTGAGACTGCACTTGATGGAATTTGATTATTTCTTAATCACATATCCCTCAAATGGCATCTAACAAGGATTTTATGACACTGACCATCAATGTGGATTCACAAAATGCTTTGGAGGTTTCCTCACATATTTACCTCACCAACACCATCTATTTCATCGTTTTCATTCTGCGACTCAGACAGCAGCATTAATACAAAAGTCTTTTGTTGATCACGAAGTTCGTAAAGAATGGTAAACTTTTTGACAATTTGTTGTTGGGCTAACAGCCGCTTTGTCCCGGGATGACCTCTTCTGGTAAATCCTTCACAAGAAAAATAATTGGCCATGCACACAGTATTGCTAAGAGGTCATTTCATGGCTTTGGGATGGCCATTTTAAATGGTCCATTGGTACATCTCGGTCACTGTGCCTGCTTTCAAGTTCCCTCACTGCATGTGGTCTTGTAATCTCAAGTCCCAGGTAGGCTGCTAATGAAGCAGCCTTGCATGCCAGGGTCCAACTTGCTACGAGCCACTGCACATAGTGTTGTCAGTGTTTCTGCTGTGGCATGTTCTCACCAGTGACACCTGGTTCTCTTAATCCGTCTTGCCGTTTTCCTGAGGTGTGCCAGCTTTGCTCCGGTGTGCTGATCGTAGGACCTTGTAACATCCACGGGCGATCTTATGCATCCACATTATGTTCATAATGTCCAAGCAGATGCTGGAGCAGATCCAGGCTACACGACCACCCCATGGCACCAGGTAGAAGGCCTCAGTGCCATAGACCGCATACATGCGACTGTAGTAGACTGGCATGACACCGATGCGGACGAGGAAAAACACCACTGCCATGGCAACGCCATTTGCCATGTTGGGCCGGGAGGACTTGGGATAACCCAACACCTCAAAGAACCAGCTGAAACAAAGCACATTTTTTCAGAAAACAATAACAGTATTCAATTCAATTTTAAAAGACAGTAAGTACCTTGCCACATTAAAGTTAAAAACAAAAAAAACCTCAATCTCAAAGAACCATCTGAACACAAAACATGTAGACAGGAAATTACCATGAGTTCATTAAACTTTCTAGTAGAAGACCTTACGATAGGCAATCCAGACTTAATTTTTTTTTAAATAAATTAACTAATCCATTAAGTTTAAGAACCAGTAATAATCATTTGGTTTACCAAAGATCTTAGGTAAACCCAGAGATGTTTTATCCTGTGCTCTAGCACGATAAATATCTGACTTTAAAGAACTCGTCTTAAGTAACTTTTTGGAAATATTTAGCAATCAGTAAGTGTGTGCGTGGTAACTATACCTTGGCCAGCAGGGTATAATTTCAATATTAGTCAAGTCTAAGCCATATGTGATCTTCTTTGTGCCAGAACTCAGGTTAAAAGGGCCTCAGTTACACAGGCCTACAGAATGGCCTACAGACTCCCCTCAGAATCTCCAGTCACTGGGGAAAAACCTTGTTGATTGTTGTGGGGGCCAGTGATTTGTCTAAAAGACACCAGCGCATCTGTGAACACTCACCATTTATTCTCCAAGCTGTAGTGTAGCTGTGAAACCTGCAACACAAACTGGAGCTCATTCACCTTCAGGGTAAAACTTTCAAATGTGCCAGTTACAGGGGTAAAGCACAACAGCTTATGTTGCTCTTTTTCAGTTCTCACTACAGCTTAGCAAGTAGTTTCCAAGTGTTTGCAGACAAGTAGGTATCTACCATCCAAAGTACTGGCAGCCACGACAACCTTCTAGCAACTAAAGCAATTGAAAGGTGGTTTTCAGTGCAGCGTCACACATCTCTTGGTGACCAATAACACTTTAGCGACTGCTAGAAACCTCCAGAAACCACTTGAGGAATCTGCATTTTTATTTGACAACTGGTGGTTGACTTGCATGACTGGGGCCTTAAACTGAGTTTTCTGTCAACAGGTGGAGATTTGAGCGCCTAAACACACACAGTCATCCATATGATAATCCTAAATATAGGCTGAAGGAAGACGCAAAAGTAGAAAAGGTATACCTTTTCTACTTTTGCGTAGCCACAGTTAAGAATATCCTATAGGATATTCTTAACTGTGGCTGTCACCTGAGATGCATTCCACTTGCTAATGACCAAGGTAAATATATATAAAAAAAAAAAAGACCTAAAGATACCTGAAAAACAGGTCATAAGCAAGCTAGTACATACCGCTGGTTTACACACGGTGTAGAAAACTCAGCTAGCAGGCGGAAGTTAGCAAAATAAGGCAACATTCCTTGGCCCTGGAAAAACAAAATGAGGACAGGAAGACAACAAGACATGAGAGGAACAACAACAATTCCACTGAAGAATGATGGGCATGATGCTGGTGCACCACCGGGTCAACACAAACACCATTTCTTACCAAGACTGAGACATCAGCAGTTATATGTATTAAAACAAAGATTTAAAGAAACCACAGCCTTAACCATGTGCAACTATGTTTAATATTGTCCTAAGTAGTTCAAGGTGTTGTCCCAAAAAGACAGTCGTCTCCTTCAGAGCAGAAGGGTATTCCTTTATTTTTGCAGTCCAAAAATTACACTGTCACCTGAGTCTATTTCACAGAGGAGTCCTTCCTTATTGTAAAAAGAAACTCATCATAAAGAGATAATAAAGAATGATTATACAAAATAACAATCTTCTGTTATTTTGCAGTGCAAATGGATTAAAGTTACAGTGGTCAATTATTTCTTTGGAATTAAAACTGAGAAGAAAAAAAAAAAAAGAGAAGACTCCCTCAATCTGGGAAGTTACTCTGAGCAAAATCAGATTATATAGATCATCCACAAAAAATTAGTTTAGTTTCTGTTAAGACAAAAATATTTTAATTTGCAACAATATCTTTATTATCAGGTAATCCTTAAAACCCAAAATAATAGGCGATATATAGAAATGCCCACACAAAATGTAGCATTTTTGCATTATCTGAGTCACCAACACAACAATCATTAAAAAAACAAAACAAAAAAGCATGGTAGCATAAAAGGCCGTTCATCTAAATAACAACAACAACAATTAAAAAGAGCACATATCAGAAACAGGACTTGATATATATACACTGTACAACTATAAAAACATTCAGCCAGCCACTATTTCAAGGAGCAATCAGAAGCCATGCAGAGTATAAAGCAATACATTTGACTGCCAAACATGTCATTACAGGATTAGGTGCTGAATTCTACTATTTTGTGAAACGGATGATCTGCAGCAGGTTTCAACTGCTACAGTAGTTGAAACCTGCTGCATCAATATAATCATTGGGAAAGTTAGAGGCAATAATAAGGGAAATATTCAAATAAATGTGATTCATGATTGAGAAAGTGCATTAATTAGAATGAAGTGTAATGATCTCAATCTCGATTTCTGCTGCAATAAGACTGTTTGACTCAGCAGTTTGAAAACTATTTTTTTGTTCCCGACTGCTGGCTACAAACTCAGCACAGAACACAGCTCAAATTAAGGATGCAGAATTCAAAGTTATTTGGCCAGCAGCCTAACTTTTACAGAAAAGACTTACCGTCAGGGCTGTAACAAAAGTTGGTCAAAGAAACATACTTACTGTGTGATACAAACAGTTTACAATTACAAGAAAAGGTTTGTAAACCCTTAGGAATTCAACAATAATTACTCATAAAAATGTGGTTTGATCTTAATCCAAGTCACACTTAACAAAAACAGTTTGACTAAACTAATAACACAACCTATAAACTGATTCTGAATAATAACTCAAGTCCATTCCAAAAGTAACTAAATTTAGTGTCTCCTAGAACCTCCGTTGGCAGCAGCCATCTTTATCAAATGTTTCCTGTAGCATGATAATGAAGCTTTCTAATCGATTACCAATTTTCTTCCATTTATCCAATTTAGGGTCATGGGGCCTGGAGCCTATTCCTGGTGTCAAAAGGTGAGAGGTGGAGTACAACCTGTACAGGTTGCCAGTCTACCACAAGAATAAACAGAGAGAGGCAACCATTCACATCAATGACCAGTTGCCAATTAACCTAACAAGCATGTCTTAGGCCTGGGGAGAGGTCGGAATACCCAGAGAGAACTCAGGAAGGCACAGGGAGAACATGCAAACTCCAAACCGAAAGGTCTCTGCAGTACAGTGGTTATGAACCCAGCGCCGCCTTCCTGTTAAAAGTCTGTCTGACTTGGTCATTCCAAAGCTTGAACATAATGAACAATGACTGCAATGTCCAGTCACATGGTAAAGAAGCCACAACTCAAAACTAGAGCTTTCGGATAAGCACTTTTATCACCATATCCAATGAGTTACTGTTCAATAAAGCTGTGAAAAGCATAGCTGTTTCTTTATTAGTTTAGTCATATTGTGTTTGCCTGCAATTGTGACTTGGATGAATATCACACCACATTTATGAGAAATCAATGTAAAATTCCTAGAAATCCTTCACAGATTCATAAACCTTTTCTTGTAACTGTATATTCCCATCTAGCATTAGCATGCTAGTACCTCTAGGAACTGGTAAGTCCATACTGTGACTGGGCATCATAGCTGCTCAGTACAACACAAGAGCAATAACAGCAGACAAGACAGGAATAAAAAAAAAGTCCCCATCTAGATCAAGACCTGCTCTGGGTTTCTAAATGACAACTTTTTGGTAGTTTTTGCATGAACGGAGATGACACAACCCAACTTCACCTTGGTAGTTTTTGCATGTAAGGTTTGAAGAGGGGCCATTTATGTTAAAGTCAGCAAAGGACAGACAGACAGATATATTAGAAGGAAACAAAAAAATACAATGCCACAACACAAAGCAAAGAAGAAGCAACACTTACAACACTGAGAAAAACGAAAGCATGCATCCAATATTTTTGAGAAGCTATGCTTAACTTTTAAATAAGCACAAAAGGCTGCCACACAAAATAATTAAATTACTTGAGTAATATTTGTGATTGGCTACTTAATAGAAAAGCATAACAAAAAAAAATTACATTTTGCATTTTTTTTACTAATATTTCTCAATAGGAGTCAGTTTAGCTAGAGCTATGTGCCTTGTGTAATGTTTTTGTTTCATTGGAGTGCAATGGTTCTGAAAACAATCCACAACCTTGTTGGCCCATGATGCCCTATCCATTGCCCCCACTGTTGAACTTCATTATGTTACAAATGGAGACAGTGATAGGATATTTTAATAAAGGTAAGGTTCAAGTAGCAACAGAGAAAGTTAATGCAATGATATTATTAAGATTACGTGACAGCCATGGCAGATCTGAAGGCATTGCTACACTAGCTTCATCTAACTTTGGGGACATTTCGGGTGTGTTAGCAAAGCTTTGTGGTGAAATAGCTCAACTGTAAAAGCATTTTTAGAGTGCTTATTTAGTGTAAAATGCATGTGTTTCGGTAATGTGTATGTGCAATGATATGCTAATTAGCCATGTGCTCATGTTGCATAAGCTAGTTAGCATGTGCAGCAGTTATCTCTCAGTCATCCTAAAAAGTATGAACTGTGGAACAGTGGATTTAGAGTTTTGACATAAACAGTTCCACATAAACACATTCAACACATTTAACTAATAAGACTTTGACAACATATGACAAATCTGGGTGGGAACAAAACTAAATAAAATGAAAATGACATCAAAGGTTAGCCAACTTTTTGGGGGTGATTACAACTAATTTATTACGGCTACATTCATGCTGCTGTTCCATGTGCATTTCAGATCTAGTCTGAGAAACAAAGTCATGAGTGTCCAGTAACAGTATGGCCTACTTCATCTCATTTACCGAACTGTTTTAGATACAGTCGTTCCGTTTCTACAGATACGACTAGATTTACAGTCAGTGTTAAGTCAGAATCTTAAACCAACCATATGACACCATTTTACTGCTATTACTAACACAATTATTGTTCAGATACAGAAACACGGAAAGGTAATATTTCTCATTAGCAATGCTAAAAGATGGAAAAAGTAAATAAAATGTCTGTCAGATTAAAAAGAGAAAACATAATCCGTAAATCCAGCCGCGACTAAAATAGACAAGAGCAGGGAGTGAGACGTAAATATGTAGAGTGTAAGCTTTACACTACATCTATTAGTGCCAAGTAATTAAAAACATCTTTTTAGATTTAAAAAAAAAAAGAAAAAAAAAAGCAGCTTGATTAATTGGGGGCTACTATCAGAGTGATGCAAATTCCATGCCTTTCTGCGTTTTTGCTCAATATAGAGAACTGAGAGCATTTATTTACTGTAACTGTAAAATAAAGTTCATGTAAGACTTTTTGGAGCACTAGTTCATTTTTATCCCCCAGACTCCTAGAGTAGACCCTTGAGAATACATTCAGCATGGTATTTGAAAAACGGGCCTATATATTATGCAATGGACTTTATCATCTTGGCATGGAGTGTAAGAGAGGAGCCAGGACTAGGCTCTGGCACAAAAGACAGACAAGCAGAAGCCAAGGTACTGTAGATAGGCAGGTAAGTAATTAAGAATGGTAAATACTTTTTGTTTTCATGCACAGTAACAGGACAGAAATCTCTGCCTGTGTAGAGCGCGTCAAAGCTATGAGCATGCACACAGTGGTTACAGTTGAGCATTCAGTTGTGCTAAGCTCAGAAAAGTTTAGCTTACACCAGAGTCACACAACATTTAAAGGGGGGGTCAGTAAAACAAAAAGCACAGAAACTGTAAGGGCAAGGTGAGGGGGGAGGGGGGCAGGGAGAGGGTCATCAGCCAGTACTGTCACTGAGCATTCCATGCAAAAAATACCATAGTCATTCATTTCCTGTAATTATGCGACAGATCCTGGCAACCTAGAGGGTTTCAGATTGAACCAAGAGTGAACAGTGCCACCTACAAATGCTGGATAGAGTCGCCATTGGCACACCAAAGTGTATGGCAGCAATGCAGCATACACAAGTTTTTATCTTTAATTGAATTTTTTTTTTTTAAATACAATGAGCACCACTGATACAAGATCCAGCTTGCACAACAAACAGCTGATTTATTGTTTTATAAAGTACATCATGGCCAAACGGAAACGTCAAACTGAACTAAATCCCATCAAGACTATTACTGTTTTTCCTACAATTTCCACAACACTATTCAAGGTGTTAATGTGCCAATCAGCCATTTTCAGGAAAGGCATCAACCACCAAAGAACAGTTATCTTATTACTCGCACACTTGAATAATGCCAAAACTGAATGTTCTGCTATGGAAAAATAAAGAAACTAATACTGCTACTTACTAACTGATAAGAATGCTTTACTTTCTCTAGCACCTTTCCCCTTGCAATAAAATAAATAAAGACAGAGTTGAAGCTTTAACTATCTGAGAACTTATCTGATGTGTTTGCATGGGATTGATGTATCTCTTACACAGACCAAACTGGCTCTCCCTCGTAAATATTAAGCTCACCTATGACTATACATGGCTATGTATCACACCCAGCTGAAAAAGGACATAGCTGTTCACCCTTGGTTGTCTCTTTCCCATCTTGCCTGCACGTTCTGCTATTGGGCAATAGGGCACTCACCAGTACATAGTAGTAAGCATACAACGCTGCCAGATGATGAACTACAAAAAACTTGTCGCCTATTGCCTTCCAATAATAAAATATCAGCAGCAAATCTGGAAAACAGAAGAAGAGGGCAAAGAGGGACAGCATGTCATTGGTGTAATCAAGGCAATCTAAGTGCATACAGAACTATTTGGAAACAGCAGCTGGCACAGTACGGCTGAACCACAAATGTGTCATCAAGCATCAAAGTTTATCGCAAATTTATTATGTGCATGTTCTTTTTCACTCACTTTAACAAAATTATGCTGACAAACTGAAAGCTTTCTCTTACCCGATATGAGGTAGCCTGTTGTAATTGCGACGTTTGTCTTGACCAGTGTAGGATCTCCCCTATTGAAAAAATAAGAAATTAATTTGTACTGTGTGTGACTTACGCTTGATAAAATAGATTCTGACACAAGATGCGCAAAAGAATGAGTCTACATTAAAGTGTGTGTGTGTGTGTGTGTGTACACATGTTGGGTGCAGTATTGTGAGGCAGAATTCACACTTTAGCCTCAGTCACATTGAAAAAAAGGAGAGAGGGGGAAAAAAAACCAAACAAACAAACAAAAAAAAACCCCCAACATGTCCAGAGGTTAAATGTACAATACCTTCGAAACCACTGAGCAACAACACGTGATTGCAAGGCAACTGCACAGGTTGCATGATAGCAACCTGTCTCCAAATTTGGACTGAGGTTAGCTCTGGTTTAGGCTACTTGTCTAGCTGTTGATTTTAGCATAGTACATTGTAATACATAACGCTAATAATTCTTTGTAATTTTTTAAAATGGTATAATTGACTTTACAAACACATGGAGATTCAGAATTTCTAACTAATTTATGGTATTAAAAAAAGAGAACAAAAAAGAACAAGCAGATGTTAGCAACTCAAGCTAGCTAGCAAGTTAATGCTACCAGTAACTTCTATAAAAACAAAAACTGCAAGAAATTTAAAAAAAAAAAAAAAAAAAAAAAAAAAAAAAAAAAAGTTCCAGGTGAATGTACAGTTATAGTTACAAGTTATCTCAATATACTACAGCTACCAATGTTTCACTTTTACAAAGGAAAAGAAGACTGTCCTTTTACAAACCTAACACTAGCTTAAGCTATACACAGACTTGGCTTCCAACACTAAAGAGTAATTCCAGTCCAATAAAGAGCAGGGCAGGGTTACTAATAGTATAACTGATACAGATAAAAACTCAGATAAATAAGTTTTACACATTTAGCACAAAGACTGTAGTAGGTAGGTAATCGCCTGATTAGCCAAATATTGTAACCATTATAACTTAAAACAATTATGCTCACTATTTGATATTGACACAAACCAGAGGCTGTCTCCCTTGCACACCTCTTCAGTATTAGGCATCTTTAACTATGCAAAGGGGACATTAATGCAGAAAAACATAACCTTCATTATGAAATAAACCAAAACTTTTGAGAAAAAAAAAAAAATTAACTTCCAAGCCAAAACTCTTACCAAACTGGATCTTCATTGACAGCATCATCAAAAAACAGAATGTAAAGACAGAATATTCCCACCAACAAGGCGTGAAACGTTGATACTGTCCTGAAATAAAAAGAGAGAAAAAAAAAAAACATACAGCCTTGATTATCTGCTCATCCCTGAAAAGGGCAGATGATGACACAGTAATGGATAATATACTTTCTATTCATTATAAGTCCCATGAAGCTGGTCTGTACTTCAGACAGAGGAATTTTTAGTACTCACCGTGGATCAACTGATTGCCTGTCACGACTGCACACAGATTCAGACCAATTAAACTAAGAGATTAAACACTGCTGAAGGGTCAGACAGAGCGGCGCACAGTCCCATTCAATCACTCAAACAGTGAGACAGTCCACAGCCCTCAGCAGTCAGACAGACCCTGACAGCCCCACTGTATAAATACAATACTGTGAAGTCATGGAATTTAAGAGGGATCCCTGAATTCCCAGCTTGTATCCCTTTCCAGTAATAATTCATTTTGATTTCCACTTTAAAATCACGTAGCCATTCTGCTTTCACAAGTGCTCTCACGGATAATGAACTCAGCAAAAACAGGACATGTAAGAGCAAGATTCATGGAAGCTGTACCAGGCTAGTTTAGTCTGATCATTCGGAATACCAATCTAGTTAATCTCCCCCATGTTGCTGGAACCTTACACAATAGCTGTAGAGAAAATACCGCAATGAATCCTACATGTGAGTCTTCTCTGAGTGCCACTGTAAATATGTGGGTTTAATGTTAGTAGACATGTTTGGACAGAGCTAAAACAAATCATCCTCTGTTAAACATAGAACAGTGTCACACTCCATGCAGCCCAGTGGAAGTAAATACTCATGACCAAGTGAGAGTAAGACTTCGGTCACCTCGAGTTCCATTCCACCTTCTGCTTGTCGCTGAGGCCAAGGAAGCCAGGACTGATGCGTACAGACAACCAGGGGCTGACTCTGTGGAAGAGCCACTGGAAGGTGAAGAAGCTGGTCACTGAGATGACGAGAATAAGCTGGTTGAAAGGGTCCATGGCCACCCAACCTTACTGCAAGAGAGAGTGAAGGGTAATGGTTAGACAATATGAACAGTTAGCAAAGTTATTTTTTAAACAACATTAACCTGACCATGTAGCCACGTTTTTGACTCCATCTACTTACTAATTCTCAACTGCAAACCTCTTAAGTATAAGTAGTCATCAAATCCGTTTCATCTACCTTTTCAAATCTTCAGAGCTTGCACTGAAATCTGAATGATTAATGTGAATTTCTGAATGGCAGCCCAATGTGTAACGACACAGGAACCGCTTCAGGCAGAAGCAGAAACTTTGGGTAGAAGGCAAAAATATAAAGACTTCCTGTGTGCGCGCTGACATCAGACTTTGTGGTTTCAGCACATCCGTATAAAGCCCAACACACTTTCTTTTCCCTCAAGTTCTACATTACAGATGTGTATCTATTGTAAGGCTTTTAAAATAAGCAGTGACAGAGAATTGGAAATACACAATTTAATTGGCTTTTAACCGACCCCTGACTTAAATCGCCCCTATTTGGAGGGCAGGGATAAGGAGTCATAAAAGCCATTTACATACTATCCAACTTTATGCTGCAATATAGATGACATGCAAAGTGCCATACCCGACACAATCCATTCCATCAAAATTCCCCTCATTATTTCTAGCATCTTTTTCCGCGAGCTGCACATTGCAAAGCAGTTACACTGAAGCATTTGCACAATTGCATGACATGCATGCATTTTCATCTACACTACCTGGATTTGCTTTCATTTTTCACATTACAACGGATCAATCAAGTACCTGATATATTTGCAGAATCAACAACGCTGTTTGAATTAAAATCCTATCAGTAGTCGTTTCTAGCTAAGACGTTTATGATGAGTATCTAGAACTTCCTTTTCTGGACCTGTTTGTCCAGTTTGAACTCTGTAGGTTGGATTGAAAATTATCCTTGGATGTTTTTTGTATTTTAATTTAACCCCCCAGCCTTGACAAATGTCTCTCCACCAGCATCAACAACAGTAGCACAATTTCTGCAACTGGATCTATGAACCCATTAAGGATTTCATAATAGAACGTGGTAATGGCTGCAACAAAAGTATAACAGTGACTACAGATGGCCTGATGTGAAAGGGAAAGGACTGTGTGCACTGACGAAAAACAGACACAGCCCGTTGTTTATTCACAGATCGGCGAATAAATGACAAGCTTGAAATCAAGTATTCAAAACGCTCTGATAGATATAGTTGCTGCTGAATATTCTTTCCCTAAAGCTGGCCTCATTCTCTGGGAGATGAATCTGTGAATGTCACTGAATCACTCACACTCACATTATGAATAATCACCTCTACACAGGGAGGAAGCGGGACATGTCCAGAGGCAAGTGCTTTGTGTGGGATGTAGGTCTCAGAAGCACTTTCAAATACAGCATATTCATTCTCCAGCAATAACAGTACGTGGCTTAAACGTTACAGCTCTATGGAAGTGTTTCAACAAGCAATGAAATGTTGCACCATATACTTATGTAGCCAGAAAACTAGGATACTGATTGATAATATTTTTTGAAATTATAAAAGAGATTATCAGCATGCTCACAATTCATCCACAAGGGGACACTGTCGATGAAATATTTCTTAGCAATGTAAAGCCTAGCAGCTCACAAAGGTCAGTGTATTGGGCAGATTGTGTGTCACGCCACTGGATACGTGCAAACTTTGACCTGCTTGTAGGACCAAAGGGAAATTCAAAGAATGACCAATAAAATGTATCCATGAACTGTTCGAGCAAGAGTGACAACACATGATGCAAGTGATTCTATAGTTGTCAGACAATTATATCACCAGCGCTTCACATCAATATAATTTCCCTGCGCTGTGCAGAAGAAAACTGTAAAGAAAGAAAAATGAAGGGTCACACTCTAATTAAATCCTATGACACCCATATATATCAATGTTTAAAATACCCTCTGTTCTTTTTAAACACACAAATAAAACACAAGAAAACATTAAAATACTATATTTAGTTCCAAGACATTTCAAATCAGACTTAAAGCAAGGCCAAACTTGACAATAAGTCTTCGTTTCAGCAGCTCACTTATTCTACACTGACCATGGCACAGCTCTACAGCATATGATGCAATTTTCCTCACGGGATCAGTATGCTGCAACCTACCACTTTGCAAGTCCAACTGCTACTTCCCCACTTCAGCATACGCTTCAAGGCCCCTTCAGCTCACATAGGTAACTACCCAAGCAGCCAACTCTTACGCCCCTCCACCAGCATGCTCTTGTGATCTTATCAAACCCCACACAGGCTCTGTGTATTCTGGCCATCTCTTTCTCCATGAAAACTGAAACCCACGTCAACATGTCTGCTTTCTTCAAAAACCTCTGACATCATGTAACCTGCTTTATGGGGCCAATCAGAAGGGCTTCCTGGAATCAATGCTACTTTGACCCACATAGTGCCAATGAAACATTACAACTCACCTACAACTTTTTAAAGGGGAAGTTTACTCCCTTATTTTGGAAAGGAGGTCAGGGAATTCAAAAACAAGAACTTCACAGAAAAATGAAATAAATGTCAGCGAGTCCAGACCACTGAACTGCTTTATGTTAGATTTAAGATATTTGCATAAGGCCAGTGCCAGTCGTTGGTAAGAAGCAAAGTCAGTTACATTTGAAAGGCATATTTGCATCCCCCAAGCAACAAAACAGAGCATCTCCCAGTACAAGCACGCAAAACACATATCTCAGTCCCAGGAGCTCTGGCCTTGGTGATTACATACCTGCATTTGTTTCTGCGTCACGTCAAAGAAATGTTTGAGGGCAAACGGTGTGCTTCACTAAAGCACGATAGTAAAAGTGGAAAAAAATAATCACAAGGGAACTTAAAGGCCAAAACCAGAATTCTCTCCTTTAGGTAGAAGGTAGAAAGACTTTTGTTGCTAAAGGGACGCTTGAAGAGCCAACATAGTGATGATGGCCCCAGAGATATTTAAGTAAAGCTAATCCCTGTACTTCCTACAGGGAGTGAGGATTATTTTTGGTATACACATGCATGTTTGTGCCCTACCCATGTCACACAGGGTCTTGCTGCCAAGGCAAACGGTTACACATATAAATGAGAGTGAAGCAAAAAGAATGCTGTGCAAATTAAGGACCGCACAAAGCACGAATAAAGCTACTATTTTTTAAGCAACAAATGTTTCCTTTGCAATTACAGCACAACAGAAACACTGGTGTATAGATTATGTCAACTTGAGGTGCATATTCATGTTCATCACAACCAGCATTTTATTGCATTAGCTTAACCGACAAAAGCCCAGAGATAACAGGTATCACAGTAGCGCTTATCAACTTTCTCTGTTAAACCAGGTTTTCTGCTTCAGGCTCTGCACACTTAGAGAAGCGCCTTCATGAGTTTCACACCTCATTTGACTGATTCTTATGGGTTTAGCCAATCAAAAATTGTATCAGCTGATAATGATGATGGAAAAGCTACTTTTGGTTGTTCCCTTGCCACAAGGAGTCACAAAGGGGGTGGCTTTGTTGTGATATGGCATTTTTTTAAGCCGGCTGCCCTTTCTGAAGGAACCTGGAAGGTGATCTGTGTCTCCAGCTGAAACTGGCGATGCTGCCATTAATGCGCTGTTGATAAAATGGTGATAAAAGATCTACACCGAGTGTTGAAAATATAACAGATATGCAACACTGTTGAAAATAAGATGAGAGATTAGTGCTGCAGAAATTCATTAATCTGGTGCTTTACCCACAGGGCAGTAAAATAAATATTTTAATTTGAGTTCATTATTTTAATGCCGAGTGCGCTCTCAATGCTGCTGTGTATTTCTAACATGACTGATACACATTAAAGCTCTGAAACTTTAAACTGGATACATATAAACATTAAGTGTTACTGTCCCACAGCCTGACAGGAGACGTGGAGATGGCTTTAGTTTGTTGGGAAATCAAAAGTGAAAATGATTTTACTCAGTGAGATTCTTGGCATGTTTTCTGTTTTCTAGTAGCTGCAATCCCAGAAGTGTGAAAGAGACTCAGCAGCAAATTGGCAACAAGTATAGACATCTATACACTTCCTGCACTACCAGATTAAAACACTGGATGTTTACGGATTGGTGGTTTTAGTTACACATATAAAATGCATTCCTCCAGCAGAGAATCTATAATACGCTTCAAAAAGAAGAAGCAGTGAAAACGTGGCGCTCCCGGCGGATTTTAAACAGATTAGTTACCATGGTGGTTATCATAAGTTACCATGGTGACTTAGCCAAGTAAAATGACAGCCACTTTCGTAACAGAGAAAACTGACTTTAAGCTCGACATAGCCCGATAACCCACTGATCTCGCTTCACTACGGGAACCTCTGGAAATGTGGCTTGAATCACTTAAGCAAATTAAGCCTTCTGCAGCTCCAGGGCTATTTATTCCTTATTTAATGTTCTGTGCTGTCAGCAGCTTGGACAGAAAACACCAAATCGGGGCCCGCCTTCAAACTGAGTCTTGCCTAGAATTTCTGGGAAATGAAAGACACAAAACCGGAGCAGGTTTCTTCCTGGAACACAGCTATGACAGTCCATACGTTCCTATAAAGACTGGCGTATGCGCTTGCGTAACACGGCTGAACCTCTTTTTTTTTTTTTAAAAGAGGAAAAAAAAAAAAAAAAAGGAAAGCGACGAACCAATGGCACCACGAAAATAACCTGGGTAGTGCTGCATCGCCGCAGGATCGTCTGCTAAACATACAGTGCATGATCAAATGCCCGAAGCAAAGATGATTTTGACCAGATCTTCATTTCCTTTCAAACAAAGACGCGGGTATAAATAACACCACTCACAAGGCCAGTTTACGCCGCACTGACTGCATGCCTGCTTGCCTGGCCAGCTGCTGTAGCGTATGGAAAAGAAATGGCAGTGGCCTAGCCGTGTCATCGTATTGTAGCCTCGTATTTGACAGCAGACAAAATCATCCCAAACGGACCTACCTTATGACGTTCATTAAGATATCTGGCGTCTCCCCCTCTCTCAGCTCGTTATGGTTTCTGGACTCGCCTCCATAAGCGCTGAGCAAACGGCACAGCCGTGTCGAATCATTTTCTTGATAAACAGGACAGACCGCCTCCTGCTCCGCGCACACACTAGCTATTTGTGGGGGATGCGAAGGGGCTGGAGCTCTGTGCCTGTGCTGTGTTTACCGAGAATTCCCACCGACACCAAACGCGCATAATGCAGAGGTGCAGATCGTGCAGCTCGACGCTCGATTACAGAAATGATGGAGGGGGCGGTGTTGGTGAGCGACTTCTCTAACCAGCTCCCTCTCCCCGTCTCTCTCTATATCTCTCCCTCGTTCCTATAGGGCTCAAATTGCAGCTGAATTCTTAAAGAAACACACATGCTCACTAACCACCACAGTAGTCTGTCCAGAAACACTCACTGGATCTATTTATAGCCCGGGTTCGTTGAACTGATACAGACAAGATAACCAGCAAAGCGAAACTGCAGGCATGGCCTCCTGGTCTTTACTGGCTGCAGAGCTTCCGTATCGAATAATCTGAGCGTGCCATGGGAGTATTTGTCACAAATTACTGCAGATTAAAATCACAGCAGATAATTAGATAATGCACAACTGCAATTCACCATCTTACTCAAGTCACTCGTGCCTGCAGATGCCAGCTATACGCCCATAAACAGAGGGGCCGATGACAGCTAAAATGGCCCGTGATTGCAAGGGTAAGCTGAACGAGGAAGTCTGGCTGTCTGCAGCCTAGAATCTAGATCGCTGCGAGCTGATTTGCAGATCAAATGGTCTAAGGCAGAGATCCCAAGAGCTACTGTCCTGCAGATTTTAGATGCATCCCCAGTCCAACACAGCTGAATCAAGTGGTTGAATTATCTCTTCAGGGTGCCATCAAGTTTGGCAAAGGCCAGGTTACACGCCATTCATTTGATTCAGGTGTTTCGAAACAAGGACGCATCTAAAAGCTGCAGGACAGTAGCTCTCCTCTCGAGTACTGGAGTTGGAGACCCCTGGTCTAAGGTGTCACTGTTATATGCACTGCAACATTACACCTCTTAAAGTCACCAGTCATACCGAAAGGCATTTAAAAGCCGATTAAGCGAAGGTTTACAGAGGTTTCCGGTTACAGCACGTTTAACAGGATCGTCAAGCATCTCTGTGTGGGCAGAGTACAAATCCATCGCTAATGTAAAGGTATTTCTTGGCTCTTGTTTGTCAAGGGCTGCCATGTTGGATCTCCGGGCTATGATAAACCCCCATTTTAATAACCTGATCAGGAACAGTTATTAAAAGACACATTGTACAATGATTAACCTGCCGAGTTTAGCTCGTAAAAGTTTGGTCTGTACCGACAGCGGAAGCCTTGTCGAGAAGGAGCCGATGACCGGGCTTTGTGTGTGTGTGTGTGTGTGTGTGTGTATATATATATATATATATATATATATATATATATATATATATGTACACTTTTTTCATATTGCTTGGTCTTGTAATTTTCCTATAAAAACAGTTCATGCTTTGTGCAGAGAAAGTCCTTTAATAAATGTCCGAGACGACACTTACACTGGCTCAGACCTGCCAGTGTAAGTAATGCATGTGATCGTCACAACCTATCAAGAGCGTCTATTCTGCATAGATTACCCTTAGTTCATTGCGAGTGAGAAATGGCTCTCAGAAATTGCAAAGTTTGTGAAACTTTTTAACCCAATGGTGTCATCGATATCACGCTACCCAAATCACTTAACTGTAGATTTAAAGTCAAAGAAGACTTGCATTTGAACACCATCATGTAACCGGGTATGTGGCACGCGACGTATTTATACTTTTTACTGGCAGAGTGTGTGTGGTTGGTCCGAAGGCGGTACAAATGAAACAAACAAAACTTCTCTTCACCAAAATTGGTGGCTGTGCAGTTGTGTGCAGTCATTGGTTTCGGCCAATACCGCCAGATATTGACCAGCTTTTGTTTACATATATATATATATATATATATTTACAGGTCACACAATTAACCCATTCGTTCATTGGAAGTTTCCAACGATATAATGTGTGAACCCATATGGACAGACTTTAAAAGAGTGTAAAAACGTCAATCATGGTCTGTCAATCAAATGTTGCTGTAAAGATAAAAACAAGTTCAGTTCACAATTCTTTCTCAGAGTTTTATTTAATAATTGCGCATTGAGGCTGACTTCCGTGTCATAGACAGGACGGTGTCAGGTTTTCCATGAGCCATTGCGGGTGTAAAATTACCATAAGTAACTGTAAACTTTGATTCATACGTTATTATTTTTCATGTTTGTATATGGGAAGTGATCGAGTCTAGCTTTAACAGCTAGAAACAGCATGGACCAAAAATTAACTACCGGTATGTAGATTTATACGTCGAAGAGGCGCGATATAACAGGTCTGCGCTACTGGTCAAAATGGTTCATCCGACATGAATGTCACCTAAAGGGTAAAAAGTTGAAGGGAAGTTACAGCTGGCTGACAACCTTAACACTTTCTACTGCAGATTTGAAAGACAACCATTCACACCTCCCATCCGCTCACCCACATTAAAAGACTACCTGCAGCCCTCACCCCTTCCCTCTGACCTGGGACAAATTCCAGGACACTGTTTGTCAACTTCAGCTTGCCCTTCAATGCCGTAATCCCAGACATCTTCCACCAGAAGCACACTCAGCTTACTGTGTCCACCTCCACCTTTGAGTGGAAGCTTCCTGATGGACAAGCAGCAGCAAGCGGAGGAGCATCACAGCCCACACACCAATGACAGGAGAGTTATTTGAGAAACTCCCAAAGTTTACAGATGACATATTGGTTGGTCCTGAACAATGACGAGTCCGCGTACAGACGAGAGGCGGACCAGCTGCTGCAGTCAGAGCAACCTAGAGCTGAACCCAATCAAGACTGTGAAGATGACGGTGGATTTTGGGCAGAAAACACCTCTGCTGATGCCACACATGCTGGATATAAACCGTTTAAACGGCTGCCTTCAGGCAGATGCTGCAAACCACTGTTTACTAAAACCAGCTGCCACAGAGACAGTTTCTTTCCACAGGCTGTCACTCTGATGAACACTGTGAAATAACCCACTGTCACATCAGCCATATATCCATATGCACATATGGATATTACACTCAATTTAGCATTTATAGTTTGTACTGTGTATGTTGTAGAGTTTATCAAGACTTTCTGTAACTTGCTTTTTCTTAAGAAAAAACTTGCATGTAAAGAGTACAATGAATTAAAGTTAGATTCTTTGTTTGTCTGCACAAACTTGGCTGAATAAAAATTATTCACATCCTGATTATTCTATAAAGTTTCTGCAATCATGTGCACAAATTTTTTTTTCTTTGTTTTTGTTATTGTCTTTCCCCCCTGTGTTGTTAAAAAAAGAAAGGAAGAAAAAAAGGCTTGTCAATACCGAATGTGAACATAGACAGAAAGTGTCCCGTCAACTTTGTGGCTGGGGCTTTCAGTCTACTAACGTTCACTTTCCTCGGACCAGCCTTGCTCTTAACTGTGTAACACGATTTATAAAAAAGTGCCCTGCTGACATCTAAGTTTATATGCTGGTGTTTAATAATGACATTTATTTGGCTTTTAATACTGGATTCAAGCCACTTGCACAAACTGCCATCAGAGAGAACATTGTGTAAAACAGTCTTATATCATTTTCTGTTTCTCTGCAACATATATCTTGAGTTCGGTTCAGGCTGGTGGAGTAACGCAGGTGGACACTTCACTGCTGGATTTGGGGCCCACCCCCTTTTAAAGCAAGCCCGTTTTATTATTTCTTGTCTGTATAATTTGTGAACAAAGCTAATGCTGAAACATCTTAGCATTTGGCCTGTGACAGATAAATACATCACATACCTCTATGAAAAGGCTGGTCAGTATCAACAGGGAAGGGGTGAGGATGGGAGAATTGTACGCATACTGCGTAGGTTAGACTTAAGACACTCTATATACTAGACTTTTCATACTGGGCTTTAGTGAGACACGGCGTGTTCCTCACTGTCGTCGGACCAACCAGTTTCTCCTCTACGAGTCGCGGGTTATAAATAGGTCTCTGTCAACATGTCAGGTTGCATACCGGTGCTTACGAACTAGCTTCCTCTGGATTTTCATATCAAACTCGAATAGGTTACATATCCCAATATTTAAAAGAACACTGTGTGAAACAACCTTACAAATATCACAATTTACCTGACGCATTTCAGAGCACGGACTGAATCATGGGTAAATATAATGACGTTACACTGGCCGCTGCTGGTCACGCCACGCCCACCCTCAGGTGTGTGTAGGCAGGAGATCCAGCCACAGATGTATCTTCTTTATTTTTGTTATGCTGTCTGTAAAATGATACAGGTTTCTTTTTGATAAAGGTGATTTAAATTCCCATTTTCATAACAACATGTGAAATTAAATCAGCGACTGATCACCGATAGCTCGGTAACAAAAGATTCACAATGACAATGACAGTGTTGGCCACGGTACTTGTGCGCTTGGTAGCGCTGGACGAGCAGGAAAACATAAGATGTTTTTGTTTTTTGTTTTTTTCTGTCTGTTTGTTTGTTTGTTTCTGGGGGGTACAAAACAGAATCATCAGACGAAAAGTTAGTCAGGCTTATCCTGCTATAAAAGTTTGCCTACTTAGCCTAAAAATGTTTAAAAAGTCTTTCATAAATACCTGCACCCACCTAACCTTGAAACCAAATTAACCGTCCGAATCCGATCACAAAGCCTTACTCGTGATTGTTATTATTTTCCTATTCTGTCAGTTTTACAATCTTGACTTGCAGTTGTTTGCCTATCAAGGTGAGTTGGGCCTAAACATCGGGGATAAAAGACTGATTTGCATCTTCGTTTTTAATGTTTGTAAAAATTTGGCAACAAACTGATATTTTGCAATAAATTTTGCCTCCATGTCTATTATGTTGTGATGTGTAACATCTCCGCCTCCAACACCTGCTTATGAGTTCACCTGGTCAAATGACTAAAACACAAAGCATCTAAGTGTGGCACAGTGACAGCTAAAGACAGCATTTGTTCTCTGAAACCAGCGAAGTCTAGTCTATTATTAAGAAAAGGCTGGTCTATACCAACAGCGTTGAACGTGAGTCAGACATACGCGAGCAAAGTTTCGTTCATTTCATTGTCAGGTACAGCAAAAATAGCACTGCGTGAAACAGTTTTACAAATATCACAATTTGCCTGGCGCATTTCAGGACCCGCACTGAATCATGGGTAGAGCTGTTGCACTGGCCGCTGCTATAGGACGATAAACCAAGGAAGCTGCGATGCTGGTCA